TTTTGTGTTGGTTTCTTTGTTTTACAAACATAACACTCATCATCCATATTTCCGTATACAGTTGGTCCTGTTAAAGAGGGACTATTAAAAAAAACCAAAACCTTTACCAAGTCTCTTCGAAAGTGTAGGTTTTTTTTTATTCGTTAAAAACTCGAGTTGGGTTTCACATGCATAAAATCAAGAACTGTGTACACTGATCACAGCTCTGTGAGTGGTTCAATACTGTTGATCGCACATGTGGCTTTATTTTGAATCCGATATATAAAGAGAAGTAATTCTGGACTTCACTGATGTTTGAACCCCAGCTCTAAAACTACTTATTTAAACTGAAAACAGAAGCCAGATGTTGTGTCTCACCAGAGGCTTACCCAGACATATGGTAAGTAATAAGGTAATATGGTAAGGTTCATTGCTGGCCTTGAAACAGGAGTTTGGGGCATTCAATTATATCTCATAGTTCTCCCCCACTACGCTTTTACATACTGCTCCTGAGACTTTAATGGTCAAGCCTCTACAGCTCTGATATGCTACATGGTATAAATGTGCTTTAACTGGAAGAACACATTATTATTATTGCGTCTGCCCCTTGAAAACTAGCTCATAATGAACAACCCATTCCACAGCCTCAGCCAGTCAGGAGACTGAACATCAACACTTGACATTAAATATCACATGCAAGGCTGGCAAGCAGCTGCTGTATTGCATTGCCCTCCACAGCAAACCTGAATACAATAGAGTGGCATGAGTGTGAGTGACAGCGATGATGGGGTGAAAAGGTAGGATGTGCAAAAATCCACCCGACCTGATGGAGAACTTTTGCCTCACTTTATCCATGTGAACGCAGTGACACTCTGGACGAGTGCTGATAACAGAACTATTCTTTGGAGCAGCCTTTCTCCTGGCACTGTACAGGAAAGTAGTCCCGGCCACTTCGGTAGGCTCGGGCAGCTATAGTACAGCGCCACCTAACGTTGCCTCAGTCGTTCATGGCACTCCAGCTGAGTGCTGAGGCACTGTGTTCATCCGTCCCTCCACAAGGGAGGGGATGGGGTGGGGGACGCCAGATGTAGCCAGAATGCGCGTGCGCACTACTCCGGTGGAAACCTACTCCGGTAGGACGCCCGCTATCGGTGAGTTCCCGCAAATACTGTGTTGGGTTGTTTACCCCACACAGTCAGACACCAACACCAAATGCCTGCCGCAGGGTCTGATAGACGACACGGGTTTTCCTTTGAACATACATTTGGTTAATTGGTTAAGTTGATTGACAGACCAATCAAGAGTTTCTAATGAGCCGGCCTCGCGAGGTTCTCACAATTTATGCTAATCAAGTCGATGTCACTTCCGCCCCTTTTATTTGCGCCATTTTGGATAGGGCAGTTTCTAGGCTGAATGTGTATTGTCTGTCAGAGAAGAGAATGGGCAAAGCGTTATCGGCTAACAGGCACTCGTAGGTAGAGTTAAATGCGATTTATTTGAACGAGTAGTTGTTCCTCAAAAACAAGGCATGTGCCCACCCTCACCACTCCAGGGAATGGAGCTTTTAATTGTCTAATGAAGCTGCAAGGCTTTTCGCTCCCGTTGGCCGACCGGAGGGAAGAGGATAGCCCTTGTCGGCGAGGGACAGTCGGGTTTGGAGGATAGACTCGCGTTCGGTCGACTCGTTCTTCTGGCGAAGCAAGCTGTCACCTTAAAGGATATTGGCGGAGATATCCGAGCAAGTGAAAGTGTCTCTACATCGCCTCAGCCATCCTGAGGTGACACATTTCACTGAGACGGGAGCGCTGGATGTGAACGCAGGTAAACTTGTCTGTCTTAGTGTTCGGCGTTACCCTGAGGGAGTGAGAGTTTGCTGTTAGCCGTAGCTACCTGCGCTGATGCGGTGGGTGGCGATGAACTACAGCTAAGGTAACTTGGCTGTCGATATTCTGTTACTCCCTGTAAGGGGCGCAAGCTCAAGTTGAATTACTTGTCCAGTAGGTTTGTTTATAGCAGCCAACAAAAACTAAATGCAGATAGGTGTTGTTTGTGGTTAAATAAGGGCACAGAAGGTGGAACTATTATTATTGTTATTATTTCAGCCAGTGTTGTTAGTGCGAGTTTGGCTAGCCTAGCATGCTAACTTAGCGCGGTGTGTCCCCATTCTTTGTCAGTGACAGCATCTCCCTGCCAAATCGATTTGGATTTTGCCAGATGTTTATCACTGACACCAGCGTGGACCCAGCGCACGATTTATTTGTCTCCGTCGCTCATGACGCCGGGCTTGCTGGTCTTTGATGCGAAGAAGGCTCCTGGTGTCGAAAGTGTAGCTGTATTACTGGACACAGAGTTGTCTTCAACCCGGTATAGGCTGTGCATTTTACTTGTCTACAGCCGTACCCGAGATCATGCGGGTTTGCATTTGAAGCCTCAGAGATGATTAAAGCGTGATCAGAGGTCAGCCAGGTGAGAAGAGGGTTGTGATGCACTAGTAACGCTGAGAGGATGGCTGTCACTTGACTGGGACAAGAGTCAGGTTATGATCAGGAAATATCAGCCTCATATACATCTGTAATAGCAAGTGCTGCAGGCAAGCATCAAGTTCAATGATACAACTGTGCATTGAAAGCTTGAAAGCATCTCAAACTTTTTCTGGTGTCAGAGTGGACATGGATGTCACCAGAAGCTTCTGCCCTCATCCCTACATTGAATGTAGAAGTGTAAACAGCAGTTGGGAGACAGGTTTTTGTGTCCTGGTGAAGGACTGAGTGAGGAATTCTGTGGTTGAAGGCTTGAAGGCCTCCTGTTTTCTTCTCTTTTTTTTTTTTACACCACCATGATTGGGTAGGGGGGCCTTTTTCTTCTCCCTGATCTGAGAAAAGCAGAGAGCTGCCTCCTATTGCCTTTCCTTCCTTTCCTCTTCCTTCTCTCCCTCCCTTCCCTCCTACTCAGCCTCTCCTGTTTCTTTCTTTTTTTTTTGTTGCTCCTTTTCTTACCCCCTTCACTTCTATCCATCGCCCACTCTCTCACCCTCTTCCATTTTCTCTCTCCCCTTTCAGCCTCTTCCCCGCCTTTCCTCACCCTCCCCTCTGAGCCTGTCTGTCCAACCTCCCTGCCTCCCCATCCCTTCCCCCTCTCCACTTCCGTCGCTCACTCTGTCCTCTCTGCTTTCCTATCATCTCTCTCCTCACACTCCTTCTACCCTCACTCACTCCCCCACCCTGCCTCTCACTCTCCCTCCTCCTTCTCCCTGCTCCCTCACCCACCACCACCTCATCCTCTCACACTCGCCCTCCCCCTTCCCTGATTTCTCTCGCTCCTTCTGTCCCTCCCCTTCCTCCCTTTCTACCCCCACCCCCCACTCCCCTTCTCCCACTGCAGACATATTGTAGAGGCTGCTGCTGACTCAATAGGAGGCGCCATTCTGTGATGGTATTGCGAGGCAGGGAGGAGAAAAAAGGGGGCAGGCAGAATATAGGGAGGCTTACATAATGGAATTCCTCTCTAGCGCCATCTACAAGTAATGGGCGGAAGCAGGATAGAGACACATAGAGGGGAAGTGGGCAGGGGTGTGTGAGGTTTGCATTCCCTTTTGCTCAGTTCCCACTGTAAGACCAATGTGAGGCAAGTAGAACTGTGGGGCTGCTGGGCGGATTGACAGAAAGGTCTCCTCACTGGACCAACAGATGGTAGAATCCACAGCCCCACTCAACTTGCGTTTTCTAGAAGGGGAAATAAGCTGAGGTGTTCACAGGAATTGTTTGGGAGTGTACTGTTTATTGTCACTGAGCTGCCTTCATGCTGTTGTACATCAGTGACCTTTGACCTCAGTAGTTTGGAGCTTTGATTTGAGTAGATGCATCAGACTGTTTGGTAAATACATTAACAACACTTGTGTCCTTTGGCTGCCTCACTTTATTGATAAGTGATATTGATAATAACAGCTGGGAGGATCTGTGTGCTTCTGTCTTTGCATTAGCAATGACACTTCTAACTCGTTGAGCTCTGGCTCGCCTTGTGTAAGTTGTATCCTGGCATCCATGTGCATTCTTGTGCAAATGAATGAGATAAAGCAGGAACCCTGTTATGAAAAATCCCACAACTCGATGTCATTAGCTCTGCAGGGTAACATTTACATTTTGTTATTCTGGGGTCTGAAAAGGTTTTCTGGAAACATGTTTGCATCACCCTATTAACCTCTGTGAGAGAATAAAAGCTTTGCTGCTAGCTATTTCTGACAGAACTTGGTGGCATGTGTCAACGTAGAGAAAGCCCAAGTGTGAGTTATGAAAAAAAAAAAAAAATCATTACAGCCGAATTCCATTTACCTGCTCCAGTTGTGTGGTTCTTGTATTGTTTGCCCTGGCCTACTGGGGTATTTTAATAAAGCAGAGCTATTGCTCAGAGTATTGCTAACACCTCATGTGTTTTCTGCCCTGTCAAGATGAGTGTCCTCTGTGGAAACTGCCTTTGTAATTAAGACAGGGGTTAGTCTTAACTGAGTGACGAACATGCAGAAATTCCACAGGAAAAGTGAATCTTTTTAAGGACACAGGTTTAGTTGGGTCATTGAATTGTAGTGTCTTGCAGATGAGTCCATATAGTCACAATAAATCATATGAACATCTGCACAAAACTTTGCAGTCACAACTCGTTACCATGTCTCAGTAAAGTGATAATAAAGTCAAAATACAAAAAAAGACATTACTTTAACAGTTGAAAGCTGTGTTCTTCGTGTCTGAAAAGAAGTTTTGAACCCACAATCTTTTTTTAGGATTTATGAAAGGCAGGTTACATCACGTAAACTGTGCATTTCAGCTAACTGTTTATTCCCTGACCTTTGGCTTCAGTTACCAGACACCTGTCCAAAATCTGCCCTGCACCTGTTGATAGCATGGATGTGTTTGTGTTTTCTGTTCAGGCAGGCAGAATGTTCCAGCTCCCCGTCAATAACCTGGGCAGTCTGCGGAAAGCAAGGAAAAATGTCAAAAAGGTCCTCGGAGACATTGGCCTGGAGTTCT